CCGCCTCGCCAGCAGCGCCTGCGGTGGCAACCGTCGCGATGGCCGCGTCCATCAGAGAGGCGGCAGACTTCCTCGTGCGGGCATAAGGCTGGACGAAAAAACTCGAAGCTCGTTAGCTCGTGGCTAGCTCAACTCGGCTCGTTATGATTTTAGCTCATTAGCTATAACGAGCCAACTCGAGCCAGCTCGCGAGTCGCTCGTGAGCTAAACGAGCTAAGCTTTTAGGAAAAAAAGTATCAAAACTTATATTAGTTTTTGTATTACTTCATGTCTTGCACTTTATAATTGAGATAAAAGCAAAGACTATTTTATACTAAGTATATTCTTATTTTTCTATGTACTATTAGATCCATATATTCCTCTCTCATATTCTTAACTACGTATAATGGATTGGTTATTTGTTCATCGCTAACGAATCTCCCCTATTTTTTTCCTATAACGGGCCAAATAGCTACTAGATAGGTACTGTACGAGTGAGTAAGGATGTGTTTAGTTCGTGAATTTTGAGAATTTAGCTACTGTAGCATTTTTGTTTTTATTTGATAATTAGTGTTCAATCATGAACTAATTAGACTCAAAATGTTCGTCTCGTAATTTCCAATCAAACTGTGCAATTAGTTTTTTTTCGTCTACATTTAATACTCCATGTATATATCGCAAGATTCAATGTGATGGCTACTTTAACATTTTTTTGAAATTTTTTTTGAGAACTAAACAAGACGTAATTAATGAATTCATAGACGTGCGTGCCGACGGCGTCCACTTGCGTCCAGAATACGGTACCACCATGTGACAGCGACGCGTGATTGGTGATTTGTCAAGCGGTGGTAGGAGGCAGCGCACGTCACAAGGACCGCGTCTGGCATGCATTGTCACGCGTCAGTCGTCACATGCAAGGAGTAATGGAGGAGTTGACGTTGACGTTGACGGGGACTCACCCGGTTTCAATCTGCTTCAGCAAACCATGGCGTCCGACGACTTGCATAGAGAGACCCCGAATCCGAACAGGAGCCGGTTTCGGGCGCGCACTGTAACATGACGTTCTACATACGTCATATTGGGGCCCGTTTAGATGCGAGCCCAAATCCAAAAATTTTCAAGATTCCCCGTCACATTAAATCTTGCGGCACATGCATAGAGCATTAAATGTAGATAAAAAGAATAACTAATTGCACAGTTTGCCCGTAATTGACGAGACGAATCTTTTAAACCTAAATAGTCTATAATTGGACAATTTTTATCAAATACAAACAAAAATGCTACGGTAGCCCAAAACTAAAAATTTTCGCATCTAAACGGGGCCTGAGATCGTATTGAGAGTCGTCTCGTTGTCTGTCCACTCCCGTCACATCGGCCCATCACTCTTTTTTCATCGCCTCGGCCCTCAGAATTGGTCCAGACTCCAGATTCGCGCCAAAGCAGCTCTTTTTTTTTTTCTTTCTTTTCCATTGGCCATTGCCGCGTTCTCTTGCCACAAGTGTGTATCCGCGTCCGTGCCCACTCCGCGAGACCACGGAAAAACGTCGAGCAGTGGGAGACGCGTATGCGCGCCGGCGCGGCGGCCTCATCAAAGCAGTCTGGGCATGTGCGTAAAGACATTTGAATTCATGCAGAATTCATGCACCACATCTGGGTAGCGTACATCTCTAGCTTCAGCATTTGTTGCTATGCACCCAACGAGCAAAAGACTCTCCAGACTTTATAGCTTCAGCATTTGAACAAAACAATATTGTGGCGTGACGAGACTCAAATTTTAAAAAATAGAAAACTCTTCAATACGATGTCGGATGAAGATAATTTTTATATGTAAATTGTAGACCTCGATGAGATCTACAACTTTATAGTTTTAATTTTTTTTCATTTAAGGACAGTAAGATGCTCGAAAAAATAATATAAAATTTTAACACCATAATAATCGCCTACTAACGCTTACCGCATTAGAGCACTAATATATTATTTGTATGGAGTTAAATGAAAATACTTTTTATATCTAGTTTTGAGTTTTTTCATTTGAGAACGTCAAGATGCTCAAAAATATAATATAAAATTTCGGCGCCTCCCGAAAATATCAAATGTACTGTTCATATGCCAAAACCGCCCGAAACCAGCCCAGGGTTGAAAGTTGAACGGTTTCAAGAGTTGGAGGGCCAAAGTTATCCGGTTTTGGAGTTCGAGGTTAAAATCCGGACTTTGACGAGAGTTGGAGTTTGTAAATTGGATTTTACCCAAAAGAAAAAGATTCGGCGGGACTCTAAACCCTTCAGCCATGACCATGTGGTTGAGCAACACGGAGCTACTAACGGTGAGCGATTCCTGGACACGAAACTGTGAGATACACTTGGCAGTGAGGTTTGGAGCATCTACCAAACTTAGGTGCTTAAGGTGCAGGGAAGACAAGCCTTCAAGAAAGTAAAGATCAGGGAGACCATTTAGAGATAGGGCGTTCGGCTGGTAGCCTTTGGGCTGATTTTGAATAGTTTTAGATAATTGAATAGTATTCTGTGAGAGGAAATAAGGTGAAACAAACTAAAACAAGCTACAAGTCGGGACATGACCAGCCAAACGCCCTGAATATTTCAAGGGAGGTCAGGTGGGCAATCGATAAGGATGGGGAGCTTCTGCAGACATTAATGGAAAGAGATTTCAGGTGTGGCAAGCCATTGATGAATGAATCAGCTGCAAGAATGCAGCCATGGATGCTGAGGTGCCTAGCAACGTTCAACTGCATTAGTTCTGCTCCACGTGTTAGCTCTAAAGGAGGACAATCCCTACAGTAAGGAATGGAAAGAGATGGAGCAGCACGTAAGCCCCCCAGTGATTTGAGACACCAACAACCTTGCAGTTTCAACACGTCAAGCTTTGTCAAATGCTCAAACACCTTTTCTGATGGAAGTGCAGTTAATGCCATATTATATTTCAATTCTAAAGTTTCCAGTGAAATGAGGCCACCAAGGCAAATAGCTAAAGCTTCATCTGTAATACTGCATGAAGAAAGAGAAAGTTCACAGAGTCCTGACGGTAGAACCAGTGGCATCTCCATGGTCCTTCCATAAACGACTCTTATCCTCTGCTCATGGTCCTTCCATAAACGACTCTTATCCTCTGCACAAAGGAAGCTTCTGGGTAGCTTTACCGGGTTTCGTTTCTATCCTTGAGAAAGCAACGGTTTGACCGTATCCTTCCTTGCAATAAATGAATGAAGTCCGAACATGGAGTAGACAAGGTCTATGGCCCTGTTTAGATCCCACCCAAAATCTAAAAATTTTTAAGATTTTTCGTCACATCAAATTTTGCGGCACATGCATAGAGTATTAAATGTAGGTAAAAAGAATAACTAATTACACAGTTTGTCCGTAATTGACGAGACGAATCTTTTAAGCCTAAATAGTCCATAATTGGACAATTTTTACCAAATACAAACGAAAGTGTTATAGTAGCCAAAAACCAAAAAATTTCGCATCTAAACGGAGCCTATGAATCTATAAAAAATGTTCACCTGTTCACTTGACTTATAAGTCAAACAGTATTTTTCTTTCACAAATAGTATTTTTCTCTCATAACAAATTATGGCCTCGTACTACTTGGATCGGATGAGTTATCGTGCAATGTTTTTTATCCTTTAGCTGAGCACTAGCATAGGCATCACAGCAGGAGTTAAGATTCTTGCTTTCCAGATCTGCAGTTTTGCAACTCACACACTGCCTAAACAACTTGTAGGAAAAACAAGTCTTTTCCAAGAACAGCATTTGCAACTGAAATGCTTCGTAAACATAGCGCAAATGAACAGCAAGGCGCACATACTGCCACCTCACCTATATCAAGGAAACGGTGGAATCTGGTCACCTCTCACATGGAAAATCACATAAGAAGAATTTTTTTATTCCATAACCCATATAATTCACCATATATGAACTGATAAAAACACAAAAAGGATAGAATTTTTTTGACTAACCACTGACCAGTGTCTTGCACTAGTACTAGTACTGCTGCTTTGTGAGAGGAATCAGTCGTGACGCCAAGCTCGTCGGGGCTGTACTAGGGTTGTCGGTTCCTGGAGCACGGCCACGCGCCCCGCAACTGCCGCAGTACAAGTAATCCCCGAGGCGGCGAGACCTGACTCCGGCCAGACCGGCGACACGGAGGGTTCAGCGCTCGGCCTTTGTGCGGCGCTGGCGCTGGCGCCGGAACACAAGAGAAGGCCCGAACGGGGGACGGGGAAACGCTGAACAAAACAGGGACAAATATTGCGGTACAAACTCATCTATTTGGGCCGGCCCATCTCGACTTCGTCGCTCATTTGAAGCAGAGTAGCAGAACAACGGCAACGCTCCACCACATCATATAACAACGGCAACGCGCTCCCCTTCCTCGGCTTGAATAAGTTAGGCACATGAAAAATGAAAACTCAGAGCGCACATGAAAATGAAAAAGCAAACACCAACGACGACGACAGAACCACGGAAGCAAAGAAAATACGAATTTATTACAAACACACCACTCGTCGTTGGCAATCGCTGTTTTCAATATATATTCGAAACTTTGCAGAGCCACATGAGAGTATAGCTGTTCTTATTACAAACAATCGACCAATTGGCCTCAAAGCGATAACCACAGTTTTTATCTTCATCGTTGGAGGCTTATTCTACCATTAGAGAAATATGTGCTGGCAATTATTAATGAGCAACGAAGGAATAACAGGACAAGTGAAATGGTATAGGAGGAACAAACACCTGAGAATCCATGGGACTGACGGAGGCCTTCCAGTTCACGGTGGCCGGGGCGCCGGGCAACATAAGCAGCGATGGGTTGCCTTTTGGCTTGAACTGGGTGCCGCCTGCTGCGGAGATGACTTAGTGACCTCGAGGTGGCTGTTTGGAACATTGAAGTATGTCAAATATTGGAAAACATAATTAGTCCTGGAGAATCGAGAATGACAGTGGAGCCTTTACCTTCTTATTTCTTTTCACACAAGTGGAAAGTCTAAAGAAGCAAGTTCAATATTAGTAGAAGGTCTTCCAGCGGATGTGCGAAATCTTTGGCCAGTTTTCTCCATCAGGTTCTCGGCAGTTCTTCTTCAAGACGGGGCAACGCCATATACTTATGCGCTGGAGGGAGGACGGCAGATCTGGTAAAGATGTTATGTTGGGGCAATGATAGATATCAAGACTCTGCAGACTGGAGACAAATTTCAGATTTCTTGGCAGGGACTCCATTTTGCAACCCGAAAATTGCAGGTGCTTGACATTTGAGAGATTGGCAGGTTCTTCAAATGAAACTGACGGCTCCTTGCAATCATGAAGAGAAAGATACGACGGGACCCTAAACCCTTCAGCCATGAGCATGTGGTTGAGCAATACGGAGCTACTAACAGTGAGCTCTTCCTGGACACGGAACTGTGAGATGTGCTTGGCAGTGAGGTTTGGAACATCTACCAAACTTAGGTGCTTAAGGTGCAGGGAAGACAGGCCTTCAAGCGAGCACAGATCAGGGAGACACACTAGACGTAATGATTCAAGGGAGGTCAGGTGGCCAATCGATAAGGATGGGGAGCTTCTGCAACAATAAATGTCAAGATCCTTCAGGTGCGGCAAGCCATTAATGAATGAATCAGCTGGAAGTATGCAGCCACGTATGCTGAGGAGCTTAGCAAGGTTGAACGACATAAATTCTGCTCCACGTGCCAGCTCTAAACAAGGGCAATCCGTACAGTCAAGACGGGAAAGAGATGGAGCAGCATGTAAGCCCCCCAGTGATCTGAGACACCAACAAGCAGTGATTTCAATGCTCTCAAGCTTTGTCAAATGCTCATACACCTCCTGTGACGGAAGTGCAGTTAAGACCATATTATAACCCAATTCTAAGGTCGTCAGTGAAGTGAGGCCACCAAGGCAAATAGCCAAACCTTCATCTGTAATACTACATGAAAAAAGATAAAGTTCACGAATTCCAGATGGTAGAACCAGCGGCAGCTCCGTGGTCCTTCCATAAATGCCTCTTATCCTCTGCTCATGGCAAAAAAGCCATGCCTTGATGATATTTTCTTTCACCGATATTATATCTCCTTCCTCTAGGCCACTTTCAATAATTTGAAGATGTTGTGATATATCATCACCCATCTGCGTTGTCAACTGCTTCAGGGATGAATAGTCCTCTGAAAGTACTTCCCTTATATCTGATCCCGAATTGACCTCCCACATTGATGCAAGTTTAGACGCCAGGTCATCTGCCTTCATTATATTTTCCCTCAAGTCATGTTGCTCGAGCTGATTTTTGGTGACAAATGTAAGCAGTGGGCAGCAGTGGATTGACAAATTTGTAAGGCTTGCTGGAAGACATGATAATGTCTTCAAATTTGGAACGTCCCGTAGATACAGACAAGAGCAATGCTGAAGGAGTTCTGTATCTGGTGGTAGGCCTTCTAGCAAGCTGCAGTTATCAAGCTCAAACCTTTCCAAATTTTCAAAATAGGATCGCTCAAGTAACCACCTAGGATATGTGCCAGATTTGTAACCGTTGATTGTGAGCTCACTCAGTTGGGGTGGCGGTCTCAGACCTTCTAGAATATCCAAATGCAGAATATCCATTGCATCCATGCCATCCTCGGAACTCCACTCAAGCGTCAACTTTTTAAGGCGATATTTCTGATATAGCTTCGACTCTAAGGCTTCATCCTTTCCAATGACATTCTCAAGATTTTTTACTGTTAAACTGCCACCAAGCTCATTCAAGTCCTTCAGTTGTCGCAACTCATATCCTTGCTTCTTTTGCACACAAAAGTCATATATCTGTTGTAATGAAGTAAGCTTGCCAATGTTGGGAATTTGATCCTTGTACCCTCTCAGATGTCGTAACTTACTTAAATTGCAAACTTTGTCAGGCAACCTCTCCACATTGTAGTTTAACTGAAGTAACTGTAAGTGGTAAAGAGCACATAATGATCTAGGCAATTCAGAAACTGATGTTCTGGTGAGGTCCAAATACCGAAGGTGCTTCAGCTCACCAACAGATTCAGGTAACATGCTGCTGTTGTAAAATGACAAATGCAATACACGCACCTTCTTCAGGTTCTGCAATATCTGATCAAAAAGAACAGTTGCATTATCCATTAGTGGATCGATGCAGATAACAGTGTGTAAATGCTGTAGCTTGTCGATAATTTGCTTATGCCTTTGCATACTCTCAACAGAAACAGATAAATGTCGAATAGTGCATGGTATTTCTGTCATATTATCATCTTCTAATCTGAAGCAGTCTTCTCTAGAGAGTGACTCTGCCAAATCATGAAGGATGTCATGCATGACAAAGTAATACCCTTCAGAAACCGATTGGAAGAAAGATCCAGAGACCATCTCATTCAAGTAATCCCTCCCAACATCTTCCATTGTCCTCCGACTCATATTGCAAGAATCAACAAAGCCTTCTGCCACCCAAAGGTGAACCAACTCATCAGGTCTATATCTATGACCTTTTGGAAATAAGCTGCAATACAAGAAGCACCTCTGTAGACGTGGATCTAACTTCTCATAACTCCACAACAGAGATGTGAAGGGCTCACTTAAATCGTTCAGCTTTAGTGCAGCTTTCCATTCAGTGATATCTTTTTTTCTGCTCAATCTGGAACCCAGAACTTTTGCTGCCAAAGGACATTTTCCAAGCCTTTTAGCAATCTCCTCAGCAATATGTTCTAGCTTTGTGCGCAACAGCTGGTCTTGAATTTCTACTCCAGAGAAAGCATGGTGTTTAAAGAGACCCAAGAACTCAGCATCATCCATGTTTTCCAAACGAACAACTTGTTCACAGCGTACAGCGGCCGGGAGCATTTCACCTCGAGAAGTCACCAAAACTCTGCTTCCAGACTGTTTAGAGACTAATGGAGCGAGGAGTTGCTCCCACTCTGTCTCATTATGAGATTTTTCAAACCAAACATCATCCAAGACAAGTAGGAATTTCTGTGACTGTTGCAGTATGTCTCGTAGTTTGCACTGGAGAGTATCAAGATTATCAACACATGGGCACTCCCCCTTTTTCGCAGACTCGATGATCTCCAGTGTGTGACGTCGCACATCAAGTTTGCGTGAGATGCAGATCCACATCCTGACGTCAAAGCATTCTTCAATCCTCCTGTCATTATAGACATACTGTGCTAAGGTGGACTTCCCCATTCCTCCCGTTCCAACAATGGCCAAACTTGAGTACCTCGATGAACTTGCCTCTTCAGTTGTCGTCTTGCCGAGAAGAAAATCAACTATACGATCACGATCTCTGTTGCGACCGAAAACCTTTGAAGTGGGAAGTGATGTTGTTGTAGGAACAACGGTTCCAGGTACAGCTGGTGTCCAGTCAACGGTATTGCCATGTGGTAAGCCAAGAAGATCGCGAAGCTCCTTGGCTTCAAGCAGGATATCCTTGAGTTCTTTCATCTTGTTAATTAGCTTTCTGTTCTCTTGCAACAAGTTGCGTGCCCTACTCTTAGCAGCACGAAGTGGCTTCATGATGGTCGATGCAATGGAGGAGGCTTCATCCTCCCCTACCATGGGATCCTTCCCACTCTTTGCCTTGCGCTTGAGGAGGTTGTACTCATGGTCATCCAGAAGGTCCTCAGCATCATAGAAGGCTTCTTTGAGCCTCCGGATCCATGCCTCCAGCTTGCCCCTGTGGAAGCTCTTCTCTGCCACTTGAATCACCAGGTCAAACTGTGGCAGGACAGTGGCTTCTAGTTTTTGGAGCTCACGCACCAAGTCCACGCTGAGGTAAGCTGTAGCATCAGCTAGGAGCTTGTTGATGATTGGCGATGCTGCCCACCTTAAGCCAGAGAGCGCCAAGTCTGCCATGGATGCAGTGGTTTGTGCTTCCCCTTCTTTTCTGAGCGAAGAGATCTTGGATGTAAGTGTTTCCAGATGAAAAGAAGATGACAGGGTGAATTGGTAATGGAAGGAACACAATAGATGAATGGATGGACGGTGCGAAACAGAAAGAAGAAAGAAAGCTGTTTTTTTTTTAGTATGGATGAGGTGCTTCTGCAGAATGGAAATAACTGGTAGGGACTGCAATGTAATCGGAGGAAAATTTTGAACCAAGATGCAAGTTTTTCTAGATGAAAAGAATAGGACAAAGCGAAGCACGAAATGTTTGGGTTCTGCAGGGACCTAAATTAAGCAACGATGGGAAAAAAATGAAGGCGAAATACTGTTTTTCTTCCTTTTTTTTGGGGGGATTTTCAAGTTTTTGTTTTCTGGTAGAGACGAAATGAATGAGTACAAGAAATGAACGTGTAGATGATGTGGGGTGCGAGTGTGTCTAGTGACCGAGAAAATCAGGACAAGGTGGATGAAACATGAACAGAATAGATGAAAGGATGGACGATGGGAAGCAGAAACAAGCAAAGAGTACAATTAATATCTTTTTTTTTTCCTTCCTTTTTTTTGGTTTTCTATATTTTTTCTTTTCTTTTGTCGTAGGAGTGAAATGAACAAGTTGAAGATGCAGGGTGCAAGGGTCTGGTGGCGAAAAGAAAGATTAAACAGGAGAAGAAAGATGAATGGATGGACGATGGAAGCTGTTTTCTTTTTTATGTATGGATGAGGTGCTTCTGCAGAAGGCAAATTACTGAGAAGGACAGCAACAGGGTGAAGAAAACCTGGAATTGGGAAGACACATAGAATTAGTGAATCTGATTAGAAAAATGAAGACAAACTGATTATTTTGCTTTCTCGTGTGCTACGGCACACAGAGCGAAATAGCTAGTGTTAAGTTAACACAACAAACTAAGAGTAGAGATTTATGATCTTACACGGTGTTGCGGGATGAAGTTACACCAAGTGAATCAAGGGCGCGGGGAGCAGAGGTTGCCGGAGCCGGTGTCGACAACGAGCGCAAGCGTGGCCGGAGTGGTGGACGGGACTCTGGAACAAACACTGCACTTCAAGAGAACAAACAGGTAGTCAGCCAAGAATAAGGGATACACGCTGGCTGCGAAGGAGGGAAGCAGCTCTGTCGGCTGGGGAAATCAGGAATAATACTGGAAAAGCTTAGCTGATGCCGTGCTGATTCCTGGTGATGATCTTTTTTTTAACAGATTGCTGGTGATGATCTGTTCTGTGGTTTCACGTAGAGGAGACTGATGGTGCTGCTGGCTGCTGAGGGTCTACCGGCCTTCTGCTGCTCGCTGGGAAAGGAAGAAGCTAGGAAAGAGGAAGGTATGGTATGGATATAACTCTTTTAGCATTGGTTTGAGGTAAAATACTGTAGCCCCCTCCCGCTGAGCCCTCCGCCCCCTCCCGCCGGTGGCCACTCCGGCCCCGGCGTCCACCCCCACCATCACCGTTGGTCCTTCTGACCACGCCTCAGTCGTCGCTGGCGGTTCTTTGGACCGTGGCGAAACCGCTACGAAAGTTAGCTAACCGGCAATGGAGCACGGCTCTCCCTCCCGTCGGTCGTGGGCTGACGAGGCCGACGAGGAGCTTCCGTCACCACGGTCCCTTGGTGCGGGGTCGCCGGGTGCGTTCGTAGGGAGCCCCTCCGCTTCCGTGCTTGCTTGCGACCTTGGGGAACATGTGTCATTCACCGACTCGGAGACCTATTCCGACTCAGAGCCTCCCTCGCCGCCGCCGCCGGGGAGGGGCAAGGCGATTGCGGAGTCGCAGGGACGACGCCGGCATGCGCGTCGCCGTCGCCGTCGTCCGCGGGCTGTGGAGGGCTTCATGGCTGTTGCGCGGCGTTCCCTCCCGCAGCCCGCCCCGGTGACCGCCTCGCCGCGTCGTCGTACCTCCCCTGCGGCGCACCCTGCCCGCACCATCATCGGGCCGGATGCAGACGGGTTCTTTGAGGTTCATAGCCGTCGTTGCTGGCGTCGTCATTTGCCACCGAGGCTGTCGCGGCCAGTTCCTCCGGCTCTTCATGGCCTCTGCTTCAATTGTCTGGCCAACGACCATGTGAAGGCGGATTGCGTCTACCCGGCGAGATGCTTCAACTGTCGTCGCGAGGGCCACCGATCCTTCCAATGCCCACTCCCTCCGGGGCTCGGCAAGCGGGGTCGCTCGCCGCCATGTGCTGGGACCGGTCGTCAGGTCGCTGCGCGACGCCCAGCCGGTCGCCGTCGTGCCGCTTCGGATGATACGGCCTCTGCACGGTCCATTTCCACGGGACGCTCGACGTCAGTCCCAAGGTGCTGTGCTCCCCTGACCCCGCCCCTCGGCCTACGGCGGACTCTCCGTTGGCTTCTGATGGTGGTGTAGCGCCCATGGCGACGGCTGCTGGGGGGCTCCGGAGGACCGCCCGTTGCGCCCGCGTCGCTCGGGGTTCGTCGTCATTCCTCGCTCTGTGGGGTTACAGGCGGCCGAGGATGCGCTCGGCCTTGTTCTGGTCGCCACAGTGGGTGGCACTAGGGTTACGGTGTCACCCGCCATGGTCAACAGCTACCTCTTCGTGAGGTTCGGCTTGTCAGTGGACGACGCGACGGTCAGCCGTCATGATCCGGAGGACTTTGTCGTGCGATTCAGACGTCGCGAGGATAGGGAACAGGTGCTTGCTGCCCTGGCGATGGGAGCTCTGCTTCCTCTGGTCTGGCGACCATGGAGGAGAACCTCGATGACCAGCGGAGGTTCATTCAGATACACTGTGCTGGTTGGGATGACGCGTGTGCCCCTACACGTGCGGAGTGCCGAGACGGCGCAGACGATCCTCGGCTCATCGTGCGCGGTGGTCGAGGTCGTGCGGCCGAGGGGGTGCCGGCCAACGACGACCGTGAGTACTTCATCTCGGCCTGGCGCCTGCACCCTCAGTTCATCCCGGACGAGAAGATCATCTTCGTTCCGGAACCGCGCGTGCCTAATCCTGTGGAAGGCGCGCTTGAGGAGCTGCCCGGCTTGCGCTACTTTGTGCGGATCAGGCTGGTCGATTTCCAGGACTGGGACCTGCCATCGCCATCCTTGGACGTTGCTGATCCGGGTCTCGGGGAGGATGATGACGCCTCACCGGATAGCAACATCAACAGGTATCACCCGGGTTTGGATGATGGCCTGCCACGGAGGTCCCCTACTGATTTCGGCGACCCATCTGATGACAATGACGGCTCCGGCGACAGTAACTGCAATCGTTTTCACCCGGGCTTCGACTGCTGCCGTGGCGGTACGTCGACGGGGTATGGTTGGGTCGTCTTCCCCAGTGTGGGCGGCCCATCCGAGTCGCTGGTCAGTAGGGCCACGGAGGCCACTCTTAGGTCGTTGGTGGTGGGCTCGGTACCCTGCCCGCTGCGGGGTGGCTGCCTCATGGGTGCTGGGACCGGAAGCTATGGACATGGTGTGAATTGAGTGGGCTCACGCCACGGGATCCTGGACGTCCCATCGGGGCATGACCCTACCCTAGCTATCAACGCCGAAGGCTGTGAGACAACCTTTTCAGACCGGTGCCAGACGCTCGCTGCACAGGACTTCGTTGCTCTAGCGGCCAAGGATGGGTTCGGGGCCCTTCTACACCGGGTGGACCCGATGGAGTTGGAGGCAGAGTTGGGGACCCCGTACCAGACAAACCGACGCTGGATCGACCTGCGCTCTCCTGATCTGGTGCCGCACCGATCGGCCCAGGGGAGCGGCCCACATAACTTGAAAAACTGCATCGATGTTAGTCTAGGCCTGAGAGGGGAAAGGGTCCTTCTGAGGCCCATCCGGGAATGTGGGCTGGTGTTCCGCTGTCCGGCAAACGGGACGGAACGAGCGGACCCGAAGTTTCAGGAGCTCATGGAGCTAGAGCTCATGGAACCAGAGCTCGCCAGTCTAGAGTCGACGTTGGGTTCGCCGGTCGCCGCAACAACGTCCGCAGCACTGGGAACGTCCAATGTCACCGCGTGGGCGGACGCTACGCTTGGAACGTCCGCTGCGGCGCGGCAGGCCAAAATTGTGGCTCGGGTCTGCATCCCCTGGACTCGCCTATCATTAAGGCGGGGCCAAAGCTACGCAAGTTAAGGACGCCTGCAATAGTGTTGTCTATCAGGAGTCGTCGTCGTCTTGCGGCCAAGCCGTGGGCGGCCAATGCCACGCTGCAGGTACAGTCCGTCCTAATGCAGAAGCTCAGACTGGTGGATAATCTCCCGCCAGCGGATTTGGAGGCGTTCGAGAAGTATTTGGCGACCTTCGCAGAACCATTAAGTCCGTCGAAGCTAGAGGCACTGTAGATGCTTGTCGCGCCTGATTTTGATCCCGTGGCCATGAATCTCAACTTGGCCGAGTTGGAGGGGGAGGCACTGTAGTGGTGCCTAGGACCTTTTTTAGTCGCGCCTTTTGTTTCTCAATGATATCATACAACTGCTGTGTTTGGAATGTGCGTGGGCTGAATGGCTGTGCCCATCGCAATGTCGTTAGGGACCTAGTGACCCAGGAGCACATTTCTCTCGTGTGTCTACAGGAGACTAAGCTCTCCGTCATCTGTAACTCACTGGCTAATGAAATACTAGGATCTATGTTCGACTATGACTATCTGCCGTCTGCCAATGTAGCCAGGGGTATCTTATTTGGCTGGCAACGAGAACAATGGGTGGTTTCCCAGGTGGATAAACGTCGCTTCTTCTTATCGGCTAAGGTGGCCAATACAGCGACACCACAGGACTGCTGGTGGCTGACGGTGGTCTATGGGCCACAGGCGGACCAGGAAAAGGTCGAGTTCCTAGACGAGCTTCGTCAGTTCAGGATGACGGCTGATGGACCATGAGTGCTATGTGGGGATTTCAACATGATTTACAGAGCAGAGGATAAGAGCAATGATCGCCTCGACCGTCATTGTATGCGTCGTTTCTGGGCATTCATCGATGCCGTCGAGCTGGAGGAGCTCAACCTGGTCG